GTCTGATTTGGCAAGAATTATTTTTATGATTTTACAGATTAAAAATTACCATAGTGACAAATGGAACATGGAGGAAATATTATAAAAAAAATAAATAAAGGGCGCCTGGGTGGCTCAGTCAGGTAAGCGTCTGCCTTTGGCTCATGTCATGATCCCGGGGTCCTGGGGTGGAGCCCCACATCAGGCTCCCTGCTCAATGGGGAGTCTGCGTCTCCCTCTGCCCCTCCCCTCTGCTTGTGCTCTCTCTCTCTCTCTCTCTCTCTCTCTCTCTCTCGCTTGCTCTCTTGCTCTCTCTCAATAAAATCTTAAAAAAATATATATAACAATCATACCTCAAAGTATCACTATTAAAACATTAATAGGGTATTAATTATTTTCCTTTTTTCTATCTATATATAAATTCTATAAAAATTAGTATGTATTTTTATTATAGCATTTTTCTTCATTTTGCAACCACTCATGAACATTTTTCTGTTTCTACGTATGTTTTATCTATAAGCATGATTCTTAGTAGCCCCACTGTATTCCATTGTAAAGACATACCATAATTTACTTAACCATCCTCTATTATTGGACATTTCCGTTGTTTCCAATGTTTTCACTATAAAATCCTTTAACACTGGGGCGCCTGGGTGGCTCAGTCGTTAAGCGTCTGCCTTCGGCTCAGGTCATGATCCCAGGGTCCTGGGATCGAGTTCCGCATCGGGCTCCCTGCTCGGCGGGAAGCCTGCTTCTCCCTCTTCCACTCCCCTGCTTGTGTTCCTGCTCTCACTGTCTCTGTCTCTGTCAAATAAATAAATAAAATCTTAAAAAAAAAAAAATCCTTTAACACTGTGCCTGGCTGACTCAGTCAGTGGAGCAGGCAACTCTCGATCTCAGGGTCGTGAGTTCAGGCCCCTGGTTGGGTGCAGAGCTTACTTTAAAAATTTTTAAAAATTTAAAAAAAACCCATAAATCCTTTAACAAACACTTTTATAACTAAACCTTTATGCATGTACTCAATTACTTTTATGGTAAATTGTTAGAAGTAGAATTGCTTGGTCTAAGATAATGTCTCTTAAGGCTTTTATTTTCATTTTTATGTATTTTTTATTTTTTTAAAGATTTTATTTATTTGAAAGAGGGAGAGAACGAGCAGTGGGGAGGGGCAGAGGGAGACTGAGAGAGAAGCAGGCCTCCCGCGGAGCAGGGAGCCTGACGCACAGGGCTCCAACCCAGGACCCAGAGATCAGGACCTGAGCTGAAGGCAGATGCTTAACGGACTGAGCCACCCAGGAGCCCCTCTCTAAGGCTTTTAACACACAATGCCAAACTGCCCTCTGGACGGGTTGCTCCAGCAATGTACTGATAATTTCCTTTGACAATAGTAGGTTTTTGAATTTTTAATCAAAGTAACTGTCTTAAAATGAAAAATCATCAAAACACTGTTAGCATTACCCTTCTTCAAAACCATTTGGTAAGTATCAATTTATTGGTTTGCTAACTTTGGTCATTCCACAACAAGTTTTAGGGGTGTAGCAAGTGCCAAGAATTAAGCTAGAAGATACTGGGGATACACAGGGGAGGAAGGCCAGCCCTTGCCCTTGAAGGTTTTATCGTTTCCCTTGCAAATGGGGTATGTAATAGAAACAGTCCCAGAAGACGTGATGGACGCTAGAGAAAGGAACTCCTGACTCTCTTCAGTGTCAGCTAAAACAGTTCCCACACAGGGGGTCGTATGTGAGCTGTAGCTGAAGGACAAGCAGGAGTTTGCTAGGCAGAGTAGAGAAGGAAAGGCGGTGCAGACTGACAAAACGGCATGTCCTGAGTGAAGCTCAGAATGCAAAGGGTTCTGTGGGGGCAGTGTCATGTTTTATGTGGCAAACTGATGAGAAATGGGGCTGTAGAGAGACTGAAATCTTATGTCCCCTGCTAGGACCACATCCATAAGTTTTGGGGAGCGATTACAAGATTTTATGTAGAGGACTGGCATGATCCACTTTGCATTTTAGAAATCTGTACTCAGAATAAAGTGGTCATAGGATATTCTCGGGGCAAGCGTACCACACCCTAAGGAGGACCCCACCTGAGCCCAGGCTGGGAAAACAGCGGCATTACACATTCTCCTTTGTTGACATTGTTGCACCGATCACACATGAGACTGAAGGAGAACAGCAGTCTTCTGACCTCTAGGCTATCAGATCAACAAGTCACAGCATCACAGACCTGCAAGTCCCCTTCAACTCTACCCTGGTCCTAAACTCTCATTTTCACAGGTGAGAATGCCTGGAAGCATCTTGCCAAAGGTCACACATGGGATGCCGGCCCACTTTTACTGGGAATGTGCTTACAAAGTGTTACTTTATAGTATGAGATTCCTCAGCTGAAAAAGAAGATGTTCCTATGAATTTCAAAATCATTGGTTGATACAGTTTAACGACATTTATTCCTTAACGATGACAAGCAAAAATTTGAAATAGCATTTAAAATAGATTGGAGTATTGCCAAATATTCAGCATAATGGAAAGTAACTTCATTTTTTTTGTTTTGTTTTGTTTTTTTGGCTTTTTTATTTGAGAGAGAGAGAGAAAGTACGAGCAGGGGGAGGGGCAGAGGGAGAAGCAGACTCCCCACTGAGCAGGGAGCCTGATTCGGGGCTCCATCCCAGGACCCCGGGATCATGGCCTGAATCGAAGGCAGACGCTTAAGAGACTGAGCCATTTCGGTGTCCCCGGTGACTTTTATTTTTGAAACAAACTAACAGGGGCGCCTGGGTGGCTCAGTCGCTCCCACTCCCCCTGCTTATGTTCACTCTCTCGCTGTTCCTTTCTCTGTCAAATAAATAAATAAAATCTTAAATAAAATAAAACATAAACTAACAAAAAAAGTCTTTAAACTTCAAAATAAATAAATATCATCTGGCTTAGAATTTAAATCTTATTTTGTCTATTTCCTGGAACATATATAACATATTCTAGCCAGTGGAGTTAAAAAAAAAAAATCTGCTTTCCAAACTCTAATCACGCCTCGTCCCGCCCTTTTTTCCTTCTGCGCAAACTCTGTGCCAAAAAAGAACTGACTCCCACTTGCTTTCAGCCCCCCACTAATGCGTGCTTCCAAGTGACTCAATCTAACATGACTAACCAAACGCCCTGCAACATCTCCCTAGTACCACATAGCCAGGACTAATTCATACTAATAGGTTTTTTTTTTTTTATTTTCATACTAATAGGTTTAATCGAAGTGTCAGTTGCAAGCTGTCAAAATAGCAAATATCAACATACTAAATGTTTTCTCCCTTGAACACAATTTCTCCGTATCAGTGACTTTCTGAAGGGAGGTGTCTGTTCTCTTGGCTCTCTTTGGCTGTGTGAATTAACACCAAAAGCCTGTGCCGTGGTCACTTACAAACCACAAGCCACTTTAATCCCATTTGCCTGGATATCACAGCTGATCACCTAAGTACCCCCGCATGGCAAACGGCAAGCTCTCAGCCAGGGCTTGAAGGCATTGTTGAAAGAGCCGTGGCCTCCAGTCACCGGAGTGTGAATGTGAGACGGAATGGGGTGGCACGCCACCACTCTGATACCCAACGCCACTCTGCATATTGTCCCTGGCCAAAGCAGGGCTCCCAGGAGCCCAGCAAAAGGAGAGGATGAGATATCCTTCGCTGCTCACTTGTTTTAAGTCTCCTCACCATTCAACTCAAAGGCCACTTCCTCCAGGAAGTCATCTTTGACTGACCCACTTTGCATTTTATCTTCCAGGGTCTGCTCATCATTCTAGCCTCTCCATCTGGCCACAGGGATTGGCTCCAGGGACAGCTGCATCACCTGCCCTGAGGCAGAGTTTTCCACTGGACTTTATATAAGGAGATGCTACCTTCTTCTAGGACTTTCCTCTCAAGTGGCTACAGAGGTTGATAAAAGCCTGCAGCCAGGCTTCCTAGTTCAAATTTTTCCCTTCCGTCACGTGCCACATACACATACCCTCCCACATCCACCTTATAAGATTCATCTGCAAGGCAAAATGAAGCCAGCATAGAGGAGAGTTGAGAGAGAAAAAAATCCACCACCGATGGTACTCTGCCTTTAAAACATCCAGCCAAGGGCGCCTGGGTGGCTCAGATGCTTAAGCGTCTGCCTTCAGCTCAGGTCATGATCCCAGGGTCCTGGGATCGAGTCCCGCATCGGGCTCCCTGCTCCTTCGGAGCCTGCTTCTCCCTCTGCTTCTCTCTCTCTCTGTCTCTCATGAATAAATAAATAAAATCTTTAAAAAAAAACAAACCTCATTTAAAAAAAAAAAACAAAACATCCAGCCAAGGAGAAGTGGGTGGGCGCCGAAATCCAGCCTGCGCCCTGCTCACTCTGGCAAGGGGCTACCTTCAACCAGAGGAAAGGGCACACACCCCCATTTTTTTTGCAGACAAAGGCTCTGCCTGCTCACCAAGCCTTCTTGTAATGCACACACGCAGCTGCCTATGCTGCAGAGGGATGTGTGATAAGATCATCAGGGCCTCCATAATCTCCCCATCCTTCCCAGTCACAGCCACCGTCACAGTCCTTCACCTACGCTGGCCTCCGTGGGCTCTTGTCCCTTGTCACCAAGGAATTCCTGACTGATACAGCAGACCAGACGCCCGGATCGCCCCGGGTGAAACGCCACGTTTGTTCTAGCCTGAAACCTCCTCTTGGTTGTTGTCTTTGGACTCCTGCTTTCAATCTCCAAGTCCTTGCCCTTCCCTAATCAGGCGCAACTAACCAATAGCCTTCCTTTTCTTTCTCAGAGACCCAGATAACATAACAAAGAAGTCAAGTTCAGCCTAATTATGCTGCTGTTTCTTTGTGAACATGATGAGTTATGATTTCTTTCCCAACCTTTTCAGTAACCCTTCTGCTGTCAGGCCCAGCCGTGCAAACATTGCCTGCTCTTGCCGGGTCTGCAAAAGGGCCACTTCTCATCTTCCCTCGCAAATCCCGGGGTTTGCTCCTGTGTTTTGTGCGTAAGGAATGATCACTAACCCCCTTTGGTGTCTGTCCAACTCGTGGAGAACCGTGTGGTCACAGTACTCAAACACCAGGTGAAGCTTCCGTTTCCTTCTGAAGACTTCGATAAGGTTCACGAGGTTCGGATGCTTGAGTTGCTGCAAAGACAAAAAACCAAGGTTTGCTAAGCTGGGGCTGTGATGGATAGCTTTCTCTGATTCTGATTCAAGAAAAAGAGAGCGATTTGTCCTTTAGGAAGTTTCTTGTCCTGGGTTGGAGGAAACCGCAAGCAGTATGATCTTACTTCTCTCAAGGAGTTCTTTGTTAGCAGCTTGTAAATGATCACAGCCTCACCCAGGTGGTTGGGGAAGGCAAAGAGAGAGATGAGAAGTCTGGAAAAGAAAGGAGAATGAAAAATCCAGGGCAATTTCTAGTTAATGCAAACTCATCCTTTAAGGCTCGGATCAAATGTCCCTGCCTAAAGAGGGGTCCCCGGATCTCCTCCCCAGGCTGGTTCAATGGCCCTGTACATCTCATAGCTCCCCTGAAACAGGTCTCCTTGGCAATCCTCTGGAATTACCAAGCAATCGTTCTTTTGACTTTTCAATGTCCTCTGCTGTCAACAGATACAAGAGATATAAACCACTGAAAATAAGAATCATGACCTCAGGATTCTCTTGTTTCCTCAAAAGGATGTGGCTGTACCCCCAGCACAGGGCCTTGCACATAAGAGGCATTCGATATTTATTTGGGAATGAATGAGTAATTTGTGTTTCCTAGGTTGACGAGACATTTTAAAACAGAAGAATGAGGAAGGCTCTCTAAGCTGATGTGCCTGAAGATGTGTATCTAGAGAAAAAGAAAAAAGGTCGGAATCAATGTTGTGTTGCCAAGGCTAAGTCTTGTACTTAGCTTCCTGTTAGGGTAACATACCTGGAAACTTTTAGCCTGAGCTAACATTTTCCAGAATAGTAGGACAGATCTGACCACTGTCTTAAACTGAAGAATCGCGTCAGCTTAGATGTCTCAAACAGCAAACAACCCGTTTGAGGGGGCTAAGTGGCAGCAAGAAGACGGAATTAGCAGAAAGCAGAGGTTTTCTTTCAGGCTCTGAAGCAGTGCTATCCAGAGGTCCAGACGTCAAAACTCAGATTCTTTTAAAAAAATTTTTTTAAAGATTTTATTTATTTATTTGAGAGAGAGAGAGAGAGAGAGAGAGAGAGAGAGAGAGAGCGCACAAGCAGGGAAGAGCACAGGGAGAGGGAGAAGCAGGCTTCCCGCGGAGCAGGGAGCCCGATGCGGGGCTCCATCCCAGGACCCCGGGATCATGACCTGAGCCGAAGGCAGATGCTCAACGACTGAGCCACCCAGGCGCCCCCAAATCTTAGATTCTTTTAATTTTCCCCAAATCTTAATTCTTTTAATTTTCTTAGATTCTTTTCCATGTTCCCTATGTAGTTCCTCACTTATATCTCTAGCCAACCTTTTAAGCACAAGTACAAATCTACCAGTTGACTACCCGGACCTTCTCCAGATGCCAAGACTGGTGCCTCCACCCTGTCCCACCCTGTCCCATCCACACCCGCAGGGATCACTGCAGGGCCCTGCTGCCTCAGGGTAAAACCCAAAAGCCCTCTCAACTTGGCCTCTGCTTCTGTCTCCAGCCTCATGTCTCATCACTGAATTTCTCTCACTCCCTTGAAGGCTCCCTCTCATCTCAGGACCTGTTCACCTGTCTCTCTGAAACACTCCCGTCATCCAGATGTCACCTTCTCTGTCCGGCCCCCTCCCCCTAACTGACACACTTAGCACGAACCCCAGTAGTGCTGGAATGCAAGCATGGGTACCCCATGAAAGGTGATGGGCACCGTCACAATAGTATACACTGAACCAAGTGGGACTGTGAAAATGCTACCCCTTCTTTCTATGACTACGCCCCCTTTGGAAAACCTGAACCCTAGGAACTGTAAGATATTCTATTCAAATAACATGTAAGATTCTTTCCAGTTTGTTGCTGTTGTAAGTAAAAGTGTTGATGAACCACTTACTCGCTGGTTGATCTTAACTTTGAAGCATGCTGGGCCTCCATTTCCATCTGTGGCAGTAGGAGGAGGGCTGAGGTGAGCATGCCACATAGAGCGTACTCAACAGCGTCGCCCACGTAGTGAGCTCTCCTTGAAGGATAACTGCTAATATCAGTATAGGGAGTGAGAGCTATTTTTATTCAGGAAGATTTTCTCTATTCAGTGTATTCAACAAATATTTATTTAATGCATAAGATAGAGTCCTAAGGATATAGAAACAAATAAAGCCAGTCCTGCCCCTACCCTTCATGAGTTTAGAACCTAAGAGGGATAGTAGATAATTGAACAAACAATTACAGATATGATAAATGTCACAAAAAACAAGGTAAAGGGTGCCCAGTTTGCAAATGGTGGGTGGTCCAGGGAAGATCGTGAGGAAGTTAGGTAAGCACCATCTAGAAGCACCAGAAATACAACTTTATGGCTCTAGAGATGGCCAAATTGCTTTCCAAATGGATCATACATATTTACAGCTCTGTCAGGAGCAGGAGAGTACTTTTTACCATCCCACGGCCAGCTCTGAGGTTCATATAGACATTTAAGGTTGGTGATATAGATCGTCAAATTGCTTCTGGCAACACAGGTCACGTGACTTGTCTAAAACCACTTGTCTCTCCTAACCGCCTCCACGAGATAACTTGTATATCATTGAAAATGGCCGATAACTTACTTCTCCACTTATTTTCAGGACAAATTTAATTTAGAAAAATTGATCACTAAGACTAAATTCTCATTAGGACTTATAAATATGAAATCATAAATACTTTAAATTATTAACTGTCTCTAGGTTGCCAGGATTCTGGGTGACCAGAACACATTCCAGAGGAGCAGATATCTGGAAGTCATTCCCAGCTAATGTTCATTTATTCAACAAAGATCTACAGAGCATCTGCTCTGCTTCAGACACTGCTCTGGGCACTCGAGCACATTGGTAAATGGGACAGAAGACCCAGGCATTACACAAAGAAGTTGCATGAAGAGCTCTGCATATAGATGAGTCTTCCTCAGAGAAACCATCCCTGAGGAAGTGGCCTTGAGCTGAGTCCTGGAGGGTGAGAAAGGTCTGACCAGACCAAGGTCAGGAGTGGTGGTAGAGGCGGATTTCCAGGCAGAGAACTGGCCCTGGCCAGAAGGGGATTTAGGCTACTTAAGAAAACTGAAAGACAGTGTGGCTTGAGGGTCAAGTGCATGGAATTGAGGCCAGTTTGACAGTCAGAAGCTGAGTCCTGTGGGACCTTGAGGGCCATGCTAAGAAATTTACACTTTATCCCAAGTGTAATGGGAAGCTACTAGAAAGAATTTTAGCAAGATGTGATATGATAATACCATTGGGTTATTTATTTATTTTAAATATTTTATTTATTTATTTGTCAGAGAGAGTGAGCACACAAGCAGGGGGAGTGGCAGGCAGAGGGAGAAGCAGGCTCCCCACTGAGCAGGGAGCCTGATGTGGGACTCGATCCCAGGACCCTGGGATCATGACCTGAGCCGAAGGCAGATGCCTAACCGACTAAGCCACCTGGGCATCCCCCACTTGGGTTTTTTAAAGCTCACTACAGGGGCTGGATACAGAACGGCTTGGAGGAGGCAATATGGTGAGAGGAGACCATGGCAGAGCCCGTGGACAGCTGAGAGACAATGGTGGCTTGAACCAGGCAGAGGCAGGGAGATGGTGAGAAAGGCACTGTTGGGAGATGTATTTTATTATTAGAATATTCAGGATGTGGTGAGGGACCAGAGGTGAGGAATAAGGGAGAGGGAGGTGTTAAGAATGACCAGAGGTTTGTATAACGGGGCAGATGGTGGTGCCATCACTGAGGGGAGGAGCAGGTTTTGGGGGGACGAAACTACTCTTTTGGGCAGATTGGGCTGGCGGGGACTCTGAGATGCCAAAGCAGAGTTGTCAGGTTGGCTGGAGTTGGAGCTGAGGATAAAACCTGGGGAGTCAGCATGGGTGTAAGTGAAGCCATGGGGAGATGTGATTTCCCAGTAGAGCAAGTGAGAAAGGTCTAAGAGGCCCATGGAACCTCAGCACCAGGGGTATGGTGAGTGAGGAGGAAACAGAGGAGAAAGAAGAAAGTCCCGCTAGATAAGAGAGAAGACAGCAGAGCATGAGGGACGGGCATATCATGGAAGGAGGAAGTGGCCCCGGTGACGGAGGCTGCTAGAAGGTCAAGCGGGGAGAGGCCTAAGGGGCACCCTGTGGGCTTCCCCAGGCGGCCATGTGAGCACTTTGGAAGCAGGGTCAGTGCAGGACTGAGACCAGGAGCCAGGTCCTATGGATCTAGCATCTCAACCTTTTCCGTCGCTCGCTGTTGGTGTCCCTGTATCTCGGGAGCAGGACGCAGAGGGACACCTCTAGTCCTGAAACCAGTTTGCAATTGGTAGCCTGGAGGGTTTGATAACAGCTCCAATATTGTGAAAGTTTGTATTCACAAGGATTTGGATACTTCTACTTCAATACTGAATGGGCTTCTTTAGGGACATACAGAGGAATTAGATGAGGAAAAGTTGGCAACATGAGGGATGGACAGTCCATTGACAAGTTTATTATACATACAAGTAATTTTAATAAAACAGGTTAAATTGCCACATCTACTACAATGATGTAGTTCAGGGCTCTTTTAATTATAATTCCTTCCTATTTATGAGTGGATGAAAGCCAAAGCCTCAGGCCTGGTCTGATTTGTCGGCATTATGATTTGTGCTGGCCCAATCTTGAGGATGTCAGTGGTTCTTAGCAGTCCGGCCCCACCAGCCTTTAGTTATTCCATACATAGAAGGCTGGCCTGCTCAGACTTGGATCTAGTTTCTCATGGATAAAGTCGCCACCTTTGTTGATGCTATTTTATTTTGGCTTCCCTTTTATTTTTCTCTCTGTTTTGAACACTGGCATTTCATAATATGCTGCGAAGAGAAGAACTTTCTCTGCCATTGAAAAAAGGACTCCATTTTTGTCAGCTGCATTTAACCTGACCTTTACTTGGTTTCCCCCACAGAGCGGAGAATGCTACGTATCCTTGGTCAGCTTCCTCTGTCTCGTCATTGACCCTGTGTCTACACCAACCACCCAT